CAGAACGTTTCTTCCCTTTTTTTTTCTCGGCCATACTTTGTACTCGAATTGACTCTGCGTGAGATCTAACCGATTCTACGATTCTATTTATTTACGATTACGGCTTAGTTGAGAAAAAAAAATAAAATAAAAGAGATGACGATTGACGGCCGTTTCTTCTCTTCGACGGCCGAATCATACTCGACACGCTTAATTACTTTCTTAATTAATTAGCTCTTAAATATTAGAATATATTACGTACGATAAATAATCAGATTCTCTTATACGGAAATCAATTTTTCAAACGGAGAAAAAACACAATTAAAGATAATCGAGCGAAGCGCGTCGCCTGGCCAGTCTTCGCTCGCTGATTAAAGAAGCAAATGACTGCCGAGATTACAAGGCAAATACGACGAAGAGCGAGATTATTTCTCATATAAGTAGGCTCACGAGCGCGCGATTCCATTTGTGTCGTGGAATGCGCGAGCAACGCGACAATTTCACCGGTTTTCAGTTTCCTCTCTGTCCAATGTTCGCCTATCGCGCGTATCTTCTCGATGTTCTACGCGCTTGCTGCGTGTAATATTAGTCGAACGTACGTACACGATTTGTGCGTACGCTCTCGCTTCTTTCTCTCGTCTATTCGTTCTATTGCTTTTTCTCTTCTCTCTTCTCTTTTTATTTCGTTTTTTTTTTCTTAATTTCTCTCTCTATTTTTCTTTTTTTGTCTCTCTTTTCATTCACTCTCCGTCGTTTTGCGTATTTTTCTTTTTCTTTCTCTCTCTTTTTTTCGCGCAACGAAACGAGACTCTAGGTGAGGTATGCCGGTTCCGATTTCGCTAGAAAGTGTTTGTGCTCTAAACGCATGAACGGCGATATCAACGATCCCTCTCGTATCCCGTGCTTCAATTTAATATGCCTTTTCAAATTGTCGGATCTCGTTAACGATATCATGCAGATTTGGCACTGATACTTATCGGGGAAATGCGATTTCATGTGCTTTTTTATGTTCGCTACGCTCTTGCCACAAAGCTTACAACACTCCGCACCGAGGTTGGAGTGTTCTAGCTTCGGCTGACTCTCTTTACTTATATCCTTCTCTTTTTTACAAGTTCCCGATGTTCCTGGAATTACAAGATCCAGTTTCAATTAGATTGCTTAGGCGACTAATTACGATTACCGACAATCTCTACCAGACTCGTGATAAGATATATATATATATATATATA